AGAAGCGTGGCGGCGGCGGCGGCAAGCCACCTCCGGAGGACGTGGAGCGCCAGCGCTGCGTCTACTGCCGCGAGATGTTCGCCGCACGCGACAACGGCCGCGGGCGCTGCCCCGACGCGCCGGACCCGGTGCGCGGCTGCATCCACCGCGCCAGCTGCCTGTGGTGCGCCGAGAGCGTGCTCTACCACTGCATGTCGGACCCCGAGGGCGACTACACCGACCCCTGCTCGTGCGACCCCACGGACGATTCCTTCTGCCTGCGCTGGCTCGCGCTGTCGGGCCTGTCGCTGCTGGCGCCCTGCATGTGCTGCTACCCGCCGCTCATGCTGTGCCACCGCTGCGGAGAGCGGTGCGGCTGCTGCGGGGGCAAGCACAAGGCCATCAGCTGATGAGGACGTGGGGGGGGGGGGTGGGGTGGGGTGGCGGGGGGGGGACGAACGCGAGCGGAAACCGGCCCCCGGCGGCGGGCAGGGGGGGTGCGGGCGGCGGCAGTCGTGGCTATGCAAGGTGCAGAGACGCGCGCTGTGGCGGCGCCGGCGACGACGAGTCTGCGGACGGTGCCCAGGCCCGCGTGGCTCGCGACGCTCGTAAGACTGCTCGTCGTAGGGCCGCTGCGTTTGGAAACGTGCGTACGCTACGTGCGAAAGTGCGCGCGTGTGCAGAACCTAGTAACACAAACCGTGAAACGCCAGGTCCAGGGTGCGGACCTGCGGCTTGCTCCTGCACCTCTACATTCCTGACACCGGATCTCTTTCGTTTTGCGCATCCTGGCTTTCAGGCTGATTGTGTCGCCGTGATCTCCGTGTCTGTTCACACTCGCGTCGCGTTCCCCTGCACCGGCCTTGAGGTTCCCAGTGGCACGCGGGGGGGGCGTGGAGGGATGAGCTGCCGTCGCGATGAGTGGCGCAGGGAGCGGCGTGAGGGGGGGGGGGGAGGAGGCGTTGACACGTACCGTGGTCGGTCTTATGAAACGAAAGTTCATCCTGTGTTCATTTTCCAAACCGCGTGCATTTGACCCCTAGATTCATTGGGCATTCTTAAGAGCGCAACATCTCCATTGAGCCATCGAGCCACAGCGCCGATGAGGGTAGGACCCCGACAGGGTGGTGCGAAGGGGACACGGACAAGGCTCCTGCACGCAGTCGGCTCCACCTCGGCGCGTCCATCCCGAGCTAAACCTGCTGCTCGGGTCCCACGCGCAGTTGCCAAACGCGAGTTGGGTCACGGTTTCCAGACCCTGGGCGTGACGCTGCGAGCCGGGCGTCCCTAGGGCGGCGCCGGTGTACCACACTGATTGGGGCTCATCGCAAGCGCGCGAGATCGTCAGCAGGGCACCGGGTTGCTGGTAGGGGGCGGTACAACACATCGGCTTAGGGCTCCCGCCCCATCCCGCCCCATCCTCCCGCCACCCCCTTGGCGCTGTGCTAAGACCACGGGGGAAGCGCAAAGCCGCGGGACGCCCAAATAGAGCAACAGACGCGCAGAAATATCTTCCTGGCTTCCACGTGTGCCAGGGGTGGGGCGGGGGTGAGGAAAGTGGTGCCAATCTGTCAGCTGGCTGAAACCGGCGGGCAGATGCGAGAAAGTCCGCGGTGCATTGCGTGGCGTCGCGAGCTCAAAGTTAGCGCCCCCGGAGGAGGGAAGCCGCGGCGAGTGACGTTGAAGGGCGAACCATCGCGCCTCGCCATTCCTTGTCGATTTCCAGCTGCATAAATGATCTGGCCGGATTTGCGTCGTTAAGGCCCTCCGCCGGTCCGACGCTGCCACCCGGGTGGAATTGTCACCGCGGTTACGCGAGTGTTTTGACGGCGCGCCGTCGTCGTCGTCGTTCCGGTTCACGCCGTGACGGCGAAGAACAATTCTCAGAACGAAATTTTGCGGTTTAGGTACGCGACGATTCGTATCGAAACTAAAGGTCGAGCGTCGTCAGGACGAGACCCAGGATATCGGGCCTACGGCGCTCGCACGACTGCAGCCCTTCTCTCCAGCCTGGTAATCGGCCCGACAGGTCGCAGCACAACATCGGTGTTCCCCGAGCCCCAAAAAAGACTGAGATTCAGTCTTTTTTTTTGTTTTGCAAGGAGTGTGTGGGGTGGGGGCTCGCGTGACTAGCTGTGTAGGAACGTTACTTTTTCATTGTGATGAAGCCGAGATCAAGTTAACGTGCGGACCTTGGGGTACAACACCGTGGTAACTCGACGGACTACTTTCGTGAACGGTGGGTGTGTTAATAGTCATGTCACAGGGTAAGCGTGAATGGAGACCCTCTGCGTATTTCTCATAGAAATATCACTTGGGCAGCTGCCGCAATTTTAATTGCCGGCTCCGTGCAAACTGGCTCGGCGGCGAGTGTTGCCCCAGCGGTCAGCTGCAGTTTGTCGTCCAGCAGGTAGCGACTTGGCTCTACGCCTTGCCTGCAGATTGGCAACCCGGAGACGGTGTCTTTGGTCCTAACAATGGCTGATCCGGTATCATCCAGGATGGCCGATGCTCACGATGAATTCCTTGCAGCGTTGTTACCTCCTAGAGCACACATGATGTACGACAGCAAGCTCGCTCGTTGGTGTTTATGAGACGTGTGTCATTATTAGGGTACTGTGGTAAATTTGATTGCAAAGTATCATTTTGAAAAAAAAAATGAAATGCAATGTGAAGCATCTTCGGAATATAACAATAAATAGAGAGTGTTGTCTATAGAGCAGTCGGTATTTACGCTAAGCTTTCTGCACACGGCGTGGACACTGCCCACGGTTTGACGCTGGTAGCATTCGTTACCCTCAGTGGTACTGAGCGCGACCCCCTTGGCTCATGGGCCGCATATTCTGCATTTAACTGAGGGGGGGGGGGGGGGGTTGGTGGTGGTGGTGCACAGTAGGCCCTCGAAGCCTCGTGGGAGGCACCTCTCCCCAGACTCCCTGCGTCGCCAGGGCTCGCACAGCCTCCCCGGGGCCGTGCTTAATTCGCCGTGTGCCCCGTTTTTACGCAGCTTAAAAATGTGGGGCCTGTGGGCGCACGGCGGAGGCAACGGAGCGACCTCGGGAGCGTTTCTCACCGCCGCTTCCCCCGTGCTCCACCTGCTGCACCGCTCGCTCCGCACACACAGAACCCTCCGTCGTCACGGCTCCCAAATTTAAACGGTTTCTAAATTGCGACACTAAACGCAACCCTAACCGCGCTGGCGACGACGCGCCGGTACACTTGTTTAAACGAGCGCTACCACAGTGCTGCTTTCGGAGCAAGTCGTAAGCCAAAATAAGCAACGGCATCGTTTTTCTGTTAAATATTTTTTTTTTAAACATCAATTTCCCCAAGAGCGTCGAGCTGACGGGGACGCCCCTTGAATCTCCAAGCGGATGGCGCGGGCACCACGCTCCCCGTCCAAACTCCGACGAGGCGCTGCCGTGTCCCCCTGCTCGGCCTCCATGACCGATCCCCTTACGGCTCCTCCGCTACCGCCCCCTAAATCCCCGGACCCTTCTTTGGTCTCCGGCACGCTGCCCCCCACCGTCCCTCTCTCCATCCCCCACGCACGCCCCTCTTCATTCTCCGCCTCCTCTTCGTCGTGTCGCAAGTCCAGGCGATCGCCTTGGCTCGACGTCTAGCAAAGTGCAGAAGTAAAAAAAAAACAACCTCCGTACCAATTCCAGCCTAACTGCCAAGTACGTTCTGTTGTTTTTAATCAAACTCTCTCTGTCTGTGTCCCTCTCGCAGTCCCTGTCTCTCCGCGTCCCTTCTCTTTGTCTCGCTTTGTTATTTGACGCTCTCCTTCCTCCCTCGCCCGCGTGCGCCCTCCACCACCTTGGTGCCAAGCGTGACGCCGTGTGGTGGGGACTGGCGGGGGTCGTGCGTGGCGGGCTCACGAGGAGAGGGCCGCCTCGTTTCATGAGGGTACTGCGTGCGTGCGCGCGTGTCGAAGCTGCTGCTCCTGCTGCTGCTGCACAGATGTGTACAGGGGACAACCTTTTTTTGTTTTGTATTTTTCTACATTTCAGATTTTCTATTTTAGCAGTGCGGAGTCGCCGGCTCTCGCACGTTTTTAATGAATAAACTCTTTGAGGCGAACGCGCAAAGGTTTGAGGCAAATATCGCTGCACGAATTGCAGTATTTTTTAAATAAAAATGAAAAAAATAAAAAATGAAAACACCCACACTGGGAATAACCATATTAAAATATTATATATAAAGACGACATCTAAATTGAGTTAAACATTGAAATAGTATTATTATTTTATGTTTCGTCATATGATTCTATATTTTTGACGTAATACAGATTTTATGTTATTTAATCGTGTGATATTTAGCCCGTTGGTTGTTGTTGTTTGTGGGTGTTGACCCTGCTGTGTGTGGTACGTTCATTCGCGTGCGGCATCACCATGGCGACAGGGGTGGGGGGGGCAGCCCCTCGTGACCCAGAACTAAACGGACAAGGTTTAGAATTAATGCACAGCACCACCCATCCTCGCTTCCATTGACACCTAACGATCCACACTACAACCATTTACACTTAGTTAATTGCGCACCCTTTATGTGACCATATTTTACCGAGCGGATTGTACGTGTGTATGTTGAACTTCGTTCGCAACGGTACGTAGCCGTCCGTGCTAATCGGTGTTGAGGGGGAAGGTCAACAAACTAAACACAAAAAGTCGTTCTAAAGAAATGAGTTTTCAATTTAGATTGGAAAGTGCATTGCTCCAGTCGCTTCCTAATATCGGAAGGAAGAGCGTTCCAGACTGCCGCAGAAGCGCATTTGGAAGCGCGCGATGCAGTGACCGTCTTTGTCCGATGGTCAGCCAGCAACAGCAAATGTATTCTTCATTGCAAGAGAGATTTCAGGGGGAGCTGGTTTAGACTTTTTAATTGTGAGTAATTGCAAAAGTTTGGCTATGGACAGGCGTAAGGCACGTGATGTCACAGGGTCTTTAAAGCCCCCCAGCCGCCGTCGATGCACGGTGCTCGCCACTCACGACCGTTGGTCGTGGAATTCTGGACTGTACTGTGATAGGCTACTGCCGTTATGGTGGGGTGCGTGAGAGTGCACGGTGCATATGTAAGGCAGGGACGATGCTGTGCGTGCGTCGTTGGAGGCGGTGGTGGGGAGGAGGGTGCCAGAATCACACCGTGGTGTTTCCTGTCGATAGGTCTCTTGTCGCGGAGTTGTGTGCTTATCGGGGTACAGACGCTGAGTGGTGGAAAAAAACGCGGAGTGTTCTTGTTTGGGCATTACGGTTGACTTGGGTTTAAATTGCCTTCGTTGAAATTGTTGAAAACTTAACATAATTTTTCCCTTCAGGGGAACAAAATATCCAGTTGTACAAAGCGCCGCAGAATGATCATCAGGGGTTTAGCAAAACATCTTAAGGTTTAAAATGTGTTACAGCCGAGGGCGCCCCACT